CACATGAATTTATTTATTTTTTTAAATTGGACTTAAAGATTTAAAAAAGTTAAACCCACAAAAAAAGATTTATTCAGACTGTATTTAAAAGATGGACCTAGTGCCTTAAACCTGCATTTTATCTCATAACCAGCAGGGGGCATTTCGTCTCGTTGCAAAAAGGAGTCCAGTTGCACAGAAGTGTACGGGGAAAAGGAAGTTGGTGTCAGTCCAAATGCTCAGCTCCAAGTTGTAACACTTTTCATGTCTACACCAACAAAATTCCCTCTTGACCACTTTTCCACTTCTCACTCTTAGCTGGTGAGTTAAAAAGTTCATTTTGGGTCCTGATTGGGCACGCTGTCCATCTAACGAATAAATGGAAGCACGTTTTTCTTTTACGACTGATCGACTGATTGGTGGTGTTAAGCACTGGCGTTCAAAATGTATTTTTTATACAATATTATTCACTTACATCCACGGTCATCTGATAACCTTTTGCAGCATTTTGCCAGCCTCACAGAAACATTAGTAAAACTGTCATAAACAGTATTTTCATAAACGGCCCCCTTCCTGATTCCTTATTTTTCTTTCTTTTTTTTCCCTTGCGCTTTTTCCTTTAAAAACAGAAAAAAGGCCAGTCTACAGATGTATGAGGATAGGATAAAAATGAAACTTAAATGAACTTTGTGTGACCGGCTGTTTGCCTTACAATCAAACAGACTCTAAATCTAAATCAGTGAATAGACACAATCTTGATGTAATCTAAAAAAATCTAAGGACTTACTTTTATTTCTTTTTAATAAAATAAAAAGGTCAGCGGGGAAAACACGTTCTGATTTCAAATGTGACATCGGTTTGTTCTTGTGCATTTCATCGGTAGCCTCCAGGAGTGTGATTTATGTTACTTTGCTTTTCTAAGCTACCAGAAAATCAGTCTGGCCTGCAGGCGTGCAGAGGGGCAGAACTGTACCAAAGTCATGGAGGAAAAAATGAAGGAAGCTCTGATGTGGTGTCTGATCTTAGAGAAGTGCTTTTTTTGTGTGTGTGCATGTGGCGCTTTGAATGATTGGTAAATAAAAAGTGCAAAATGCATCTTTCGGGGAAGTTACGATGCTGGAGTAGCTGTTGTGAGATATTGAAAGATTGTATATCCTATTTATTGTATGTGTGTGTACATACCGCCAAGTGTGGTTTTCTCTGCACGCAGAAAGAAGCCGCGTGGATGACAGTGGTGAGTCCTGATGTGGAGAACGTACCCCCTCCCTCTGATAGCAAAGACCGGTGTGTGTGTGTGTGTGTGTGTGTGTGTGTGTGTGTGTGTGTGTGTGTGTGTGTGTGTGTGTGTCATAGCCTTGTGCACTGAGCTCTACCTCTGCATAGAGTTTTACTTTTTTCTCTAATGTTTTTTCTTCCTCTCCAATATGACATTTTTCAAATTTGACAAATACAGCTTTGATCATGATGGCAGTAAACTGCTGCAGCTGTGACACTTTTTTTCCTTCTTGTTGATAATTTCAACAACTTGTACTGTATTCTCTTGTAAATGTCGGTATTATTTCCTCTTCATTGAGTCACTCATTTGTTCCTGTTCTGAGTTGCCAAACTTTTCTCTGTATGTTTTCAACTATGATTTAAAACAAAAAAAAAAAAAAAAAACCGCCCCCAATTTAAGAAAAAAAACTTTGCAAGAATTAAAATTTCCAACCTTGCAGTTCATGGTGTGTCTTTTCTTTGTCTCGCTTCATCATAATCGATTTAATAATCAGTGAAAGAAACACACTCCAAGATCTTAGACCTCCTTCTCTTTCACCTTGTTAACTCAAGTGTTTTTCACAATAAGACAGTATTTTGATATGTACTATACTGTACAAGTGATGTGTGTTGCGCTCACACAGTGTACCATTTAAATGGCTTACAGCAAGTGCTAATACAAAGATTACATTCTGCCATTCAGCCACTGAGGGACACATTCAGTCCTTCATACTGTTTTTTTTATTATTATTTTATTAGTCCTTTATTTATCCAGGTAAAAATCTCATTGAGATTAAAAATCTCATTTCCAAGAGAAACCAGGCATCATGGCAACAAAAGTCAAGAGATTTGTGTTTCAGTTGCTGCTGTGGTAACTATCCAGGTCATTTCAATGAAGAAGTGCTGTTAGTTTTTATTAAAAGCACTGTTCAAACCGCTGTAGTGAACACCATCAAGCTGAAGTAATAAGTGAATAGGAACAACATCACTTTACAAGTTGAGAAAGTTGTATAAAAAACGGGAGTCTGTGAAAAACCCAAGTACACAAGCAGAAGTTTTGGCAGTTTGCTGGTCTGAAACATCGAGCTGGGTGTCAACACAATGCCTCAACCTTCCCATGAGCGGCGTTCCAACAAAATCACCCCAAGGCCAGACCATGTGATGCACAGAGAATCTGCAAAAACCCAAAGGGATACACGTTGAACTCTTGTGCACTTGTACAACTAGAGAAAGAAAAAGTGCGTTTTGCATGGAAGGAGAAAACATCTCCCTGAAAAGACCATGGCAACACAGGTTTGAGTTGCAAAGTTACATCTGAACAAACCTAGAACTGGAGATGTTTTTCTCTTAATAGAGAGCTCAACTTTTGGTGAAAACTAAGCATGGCATATCAAGACAAATGCCTAATAACGGTCAAACACCGTGGTGGTGTGATGATTTTGGCTTATTTTGGACCTGGGTGCTTCATTGAGTCGACCACAAACTCCTCTGTGTACCAAAGTATTCTAGAGTCAAATGTGAGCCTCTTATCTGACAGGTAAAGCTTGGCCCAAATCGGGTCCTGGAACAGGACAACGATCCCATGCACAGCACTAAATCGAAACAGAACAGCTGAAAAAGAAGATTCAAAGTCGTCAACCTGACTGAAACAGGAATCGCACACAAGAGAGCGGTGGATAAATTAATGCCAGAAAACGTCAATGAACTGAAGCAACTGTAAAATTTGGGGATAGATTAGTCCTGTTACAGTGTTACCAATAGTTGTAATGTTCCCCAAGCCAGTTAGATCTCTAATTATCTGTTAGATAATTAGAGAAATCTCTGTATGTCCATCTGTTTGCCTTGTCCTCTGCTATCTCGACTCCTGTTCATCTGATCCACCTCAAACCTAGCAGGGGTGTTCCTGGAGCTCGCAGTGTTCCTCCTGGTGTCTCTGCTGCCTTTTTGCAAACTGCTCAAACATTTCAGATCATTTGGATTAAAGTTTGGTCAAATACTTTGAATGAAGAGTTAGAAAAGCTACACTTTGTCCGGAATAGAGACGTAAAATTTGCTCTGATCTGCAATGAGGACGAGTGACGTCATTAGACAATATCATTAAAGGTGCTGAAAGAATTCTCAGCAGGGTTCATCGCTACTTAAACGTTTCACAGTGGCATTTGATCTTTTGTCGATATAAAAACAGCTTTAAGATGAAGAAACTGATCCCGCAGGACAAGCATTACGTGTTTTATCTAATTAGAAATTTCTCGCCCTGTACGTTCATATTCAATGCTATATCCTGCACTGCTTTCCAAGCCTTTTTCTAGTTTGTCACTCGTGTTCATTGGAAGCAAACACAAACGTCTCATGCATCATTTCCTAGGAGATGGGAGACGGCTGTGGATCAGGTGGATGTTCAGGTAATTATTTAGGTGGGAACTTTTCCAAGTAATTGGATAAGTGAGGAGTAGCCAAGTTTGAAACGAAAACGATTGCTGGCTTGAATGGAAAATGCATCTACCAAAGCCACAGTCTAATGGGGAGGATGGAAAGCTTTCCTGGGGATATATTGCCATTATGCCATTATAGCCTCATATTTTAATGTAGTGAGTTTGAGAGTTTGATGTGAAAAGCGTTAGCTTTTTTTTTTGTTTTCTTTTGTTTTTTAATCAAACTATGAAATGACTTTAAAGATGAGTTTTGCTTGTCATTCTTTCTTCTAAAGCAGGGTAGGCAACTCAGGCCTCGAGTGCCGGTGTCCTGCAGGTTTTAGATATCACCGTGAGTGAGGATGCAGGCACTCGAGGCCTGGAGTTGCCTACCCCTGTTCTAAAGGGTTACCCCTTTTACAGAAACCAATCAGAGTCGATGCCACAT